TAGGTGAATACCTTCAATGAGTACATCACTTGGTTTCCCGAATGGTGTCTCCATTTCGATCTGACGAGCATTTTCAAGAATTTGCGGGTCTTCAAGTCCCGATCCGCCGATAATTCCAACCTTAAAATGAAAAGATTTTTAAGCTTTTGAAAAGCTGAAAAAAAAGATGTTAATTTAAATGTTCACCTTGGTTTTCATCGTTCGCAGATAGCTCGTATCGAATAAAAAAGTGGAAAGAAGATAAGTAAACTAGTAAACTGAAATCTTTTGAATATAGAAATTTATCACAAAAAAATCAAGAACGACTTTTGAAAATGATTTGATTTCTAAATGATCAATCGTTATTTATTTAGTGAGTAAAAGAGGTGTGAGAAAAAGGTTTGGATGAAGCAGGAAATGAAAATAAATAAGAGTTTAAGAATAGCGAAGAATCAGAAACTCGATATTTACATCAATTTATTTGAAAATAAAATGGAAAATGATTTGGGGGGAAAGTGAAGAATTTTTCCATTAGAAATGAATCGAATAAATCGGTTTATAACGTATAGAGGATGAAATCAGCTTTTCAGCTCACTTTCAACCTTGGGTATTTCAGGTAGTTTCGATTTAACAGGCTGTGGAGAACTAAACAAATTTAAGGGCAAAAGATTTACCAGAAATTTGCGGAGTCACCGGAAAACACAAAGTCGGCTCAGTCGGCTGATCACTCCGGAGTCAAAAAAGGAACTTTTCATTTAGGGAAGCCGAAAGGAAATCCCTTACGCCAGAGCCCTATGCCAGATGGAGAGTGATTACGCGGCCGCACAAAGAACAGCTTGAGCTCTTTTACAGAGATTTGCTCTTGTTTTTAGATGATATAAAAATGATATTTAGCTGTTAAATTTGTACCTGGGGGTTTTCGGGGTCGGGGAATCGATTGAAGATATTCATTTTATTAAGTTACCAATTGAAATTCGGGTTTAATCGATCAAAACTTTTAGTTGAAACTTATTAGCGTTTCTTGGAAAGAAGAAGAGAAATTATGGGGGTGGGACAAATGCGACCTTTTTTTGCGCACCTGGACATTTGCGCACCTTTTTTTTGCTGGAAAAGGCCTTAGGCAAGGCCGTAGAGCTTCGAAAATATTTCGAAAATACTTCCATATAAGGGAATCGTATGCGTAGATTCCGAATTTCGACAAATCAGACCTCGCTGACACGTCAAATTTGGGCTAAAGGGCAAAAAATGCGGAAAAGCGTTAAGTTGCGTAGTTTTTTGCCTTTTAGTCCAAATTTGACGTGTCAGCGAAATCTGATTTGTCGAAATTCGGAATCTACGCATACGATTCCCTTCTATGAAAACTTTTTTGAAGCTCTACGACCTTTCCTAAGGTCTTTTCTAGCAAAAAAAAAGGTGCGCAAATGTCCAGGTGCGCAAAAAAAAGGTCGCATTTGTCCCACTCCCGAAATTATTGATAATTATTGATATTTCTACAGAAAACTATCAAAAATTATATTTCTAATTGCGAATAATTTGATTTTATTGAGAATTTTGTCAAAAAAGATTGTTAGTTTGTGGAAAAGATTTGTCTTGTAATCGTTTGGGGGAAAGGGGGGAATTGATAAGAGAAAGATTGATCATTGATCATTCAATTCAAAGAAAATCTCAAGAAAAAGTGAAAAAGCTCATCAAAAAAACCATAATTCTATAGAAAACAGATATTATTTGCTAAATTATTTGCTAAAATTTATCTATTAAATATCTATTTAGCAAATATTTATGCTTTCACTTGTTTATCTCTTCAATTTGCCCCTTTTTCTATCTCTTAAGACTTCCTTGTTTATGTTTTTTGACTTTTTTTGACTTTTTTTTGACGTAAACACCTTTTTTTTGTTTTTTTTGAAGAAATTTGTGTAAAATTACAAAGCTAAAGGTTTAAATTTCAAATTTTATCTAAAATTTATCAATTAGTTAAAGAAAATTGATGGTTGAGCAAGTTTTTGAAGCGAAATTTCTCTATTATTGAAGAATAGAAGATTTTCTAGGTAAAATTTTGTATTTAATCAAATCTTTTTGATTAAATTGATTAATCTATACAAGATTTTATATATTTAATTCGCATTTTCTTTTCTATAAACGTTTTTTTGAGTCAAAAAAATTGCACAACCTTTCGTAAACGGTTTAAACTACAAAATACAAAAAAAAGAGCATTGAAAACGACCAAAAAGAGAGGCATTTAAAGCCATTTAAAAGTCGAATATCCTTACTTTATCGTCTTATTTTCTTTATTTTCTTAAATGCAAATTTTCGACACACCAATAAGCACCGAGATTTTGGAGAGAGATTTTCAAAAATCGTTTAAAAGTGAAGCGAAATTTGGGAAGAAGTTTCGCTTGGAAAGGATCGGCGAGGGGACGGTCAGTGATATTTCAAATTCTAATTGTAAAATTCGAAATGTAATTGTAGCTTTAAGCGACGGTCAATTCTATTTCAAATTCTAATTGTAAAGTTCTAATTGCAAAATTATAGCTTTAAATTCTAAAATTTAAATTTAAAATCTAAATAGATATATTGAATAAAATCGAATGGTAAAATGAAGAAATTTTAAAAAGAAACGGGCAAATTTTATGCCGTAAACATGGTGAAGAAATCCCGCAGCGACATCGGTTTTTTTGGCTTTTTTTTTTGAGGGGAAATAGAGCAAAAAAAAAAAAGAGGCAGAAAAGCCATTCGATAGTCAATAGAAAATGAAAAAGAAATGATGAAGCTTTATTTGAGAAATCTAAAGAGTATAAAGTTTGAATCAATAAAATGAGCTTGTGTGGGACGAGTGTTCAAAATTCGACCTTTCTTCGGGTTTATTGGGCTTTTTAAGTCCTGGGATGAGGAGAATTCTCTAGTGGCCAATCTATAAATTGATAATTAGTAATTGGCAATTGTCAATTGGCGATTATTGGATGCCAATTGTCAATTGCCAATTGCTAGACAGTTTTCGTTAAGGTCGGCGACTTGTTCGGAGAAGAAAGCGACCCTTGTCTCGAAGTTTCGTTTAATTACTCACTAAAATGAATACCCTCAATCGATTCCCCAACCCCGAAAATCCGCGGGTACAAACTTACGGCTCAATATCCTCTTTTTAAATCATCTACAAAGAAGAGAAATCCCTGAAGATAGGGGTGTTCTTTGTGCGTGCGCGTAATCGCTCTCCATCTGGCATAGGGCCCTGGCATAAGGGCCTTCCCTTTTCGGAACCCGTAAACGAAAGGACCAACCGGTCACTGAACCAGTTTTCCCTTTTTTTATTGACGTCGCTATGCCGAAATTTTTGAAAACAATTTTTCCTTGAAATTCGTTAGTATATTTTTTGAGAAATTTTAAACCTTTTAAATCGCTGTGTTACCCAAATTAAAATCGGTTAAACCTTCCCAATAAGATAAACCATTTTACTTGAATCATTTCTACATAAAACTTCAAGACTTTTGTGGGTTCAATGTTTAGAATCTCATGCGTTCAATGCAGAAATCCATTTTTCATTTGGCCAACAGAGAAAATATTTGTTTATCAACTCTGAGCTTTCAAAAGTTATTGCCAAAAAAGCTGCCAAAAGATCTCAAGTAAAAAAACTAGTAAAAAATGAAGTAAAATTGACTTTCATTAGTAGATCGAAAGGATTTTTATGGCATTAAACTTTAGCCTTGGAAATTCTATCAATATCAATTGTTCTTCTATCAATAGTGCTTTTTTTTAGATGGCGTGATTTTCTAATATTCAAAAATTCGATTATCTTTTAAATTGCAGGGTTTCTCTTCAACGCCGGTTGTGATCACATTTGATTGGACGATTGATAAAGAGAAATTGCCGAAAAATGCTCTCATCAAAATTGTTGTCAAATCGAAGAAAAATCATATGTTGGATAAAGTAAATTTATGCAAAAATGGAAGACATAAAAATGTTTAGTTTAACGACACAGAGTTGAGATTTTATGAGGAGAATGCAAGGGAGGGGTATGGAATGAAATTGCCGAGATTTTATTGTGGACGATATTATGGAATGGATGGAGTTGAAGCGGGTGAGTGGATACAAAGAGTAGAGTGTGTTCCTCTCGACTAATGCGTTTTCTAAAGTGCATCTATTTGAGAAAAGTATCGTAGTCAAACCGTTAGTTTTCATCAAATCAATCCAATTTTTGAAATCATTGGTTGAGCCTTGTAATTCCTCATCAAATGATACCAAAATTGAGCTGATCGGATGTAAATTAGCAGTTTGGCTACTGAAGGCAGGTCTAGTACTAGAGACAGGTCCAGTACTAGAGACAGGTCCAGTACTGGAGGCAGGTCCAGTACTTGAGGCAGGTCCAGTACTGGAGGCAGGTCTAGTACTGGAGCCAGGTCTAGTACTAGAGACAGGTCCAGTATTGGAGGCAGGTCCAGTACTTGAGCCAGGTCTAGTACTAGAGACAGGTCCAGTACTGAAGGCAGGTCTAGTACTGGAGCCAGGTCTAGTACTAGAGACAGGTCCAGTACTGGAGGCAGGTCCAGTACTTGAGGCAGGTCTAGTACTGGAGGGTCCGGTGGTTTTCTCAAATAGGTGCACTTTAAAAAACGCGTTAGTCGCAGGGAAAGCACTCTAAAAAAAGTAATGTGACAGTACTGAGAAAGTATCTTTAAGCATTAAATGCAATATAGCGCACGATAAAGTCTTTTCTTCTAGGCTACATTGCGGTGGAGTTCATCGAGAATACGACAATCCGACACCTTTACCACAATATTCAATCAATCGGCACTATTGAGGTTCTCGAGGAATTAGCGAAATTGCTTGCTTATTGTAAGTGAGATTTTTAGTAAAATCTTGTATTGGAGTCTAAAAAAAATTAGATATTTAAGCCGTAAAACATCGAGAAAAAATGGAGAAATGGGGTGGTTTCGAGAATTCGCTTATTTCATTGATTTTGGTGAAAAACGTGAGTTTATTTCTTTAAATAGATTTTCCAGTGAATAGTTTATTAGTTATGCTTTTAGAAAATGCAAAAACATCTACGAATTATGAGGGAAATGATGCCCGAATTGAGCTCTCAACTGGATGTGATCGAGAGGAAAACGGGCACACTTTTCACTCAATCATCATTTATGCAAATGCGAAAAGATACTTGTAAAGGTTTTTTATATATGTCGTAGCCGTTTACGAAATTCAGCCGCTAACGAATCATTCGTTAGCGGCTAAATTTCGTAAACGGCTACGACCTATAGAATTGATTTCGAAAAAGACTTTAGGATTTGAATTTAGTCGATTAGATTGATGTTTATTCGATTTTGTGTAAAACATTTATAGGCAATCACCCAGTTTTGTGTCATGGTGACATTTGGACGCCGAACATTTTGTGGACAAAGGATGATGAGGGGATTTTTCGCCTAAAAGTCATTGTTGATTGGCAGGTTGGATAAAAGGGAATAAAACTTTGATAATATACTAATATTTAGAAGATTTCAATAAACTTTGTTTCAATCTTTGTTTGTTTAGTTTGTCCATCTCGGTTCTCCACTCGAGGATCTCGTCCTTTTCTTTCACAGTGCTCTCTCGGCAGAGAGTTATCGGAAAAAGTAAAGGATTTATATAAAAAAACAACGTTCTATTAATGAAAAAATATTATAAAAATTTAGCATCTTCAAATTCTTGCATTTCTATTACGAGTTTTTGCGAAAAAATCTTCCAAAGGATTCACTTTTGTGGGAATCTTACGAAGAAGTTTGTTTTTATATAAAGATTAACGATAATTATGTAATTAAGTTATTAAATAATACAGTCATGGACAAAAGTCTTTACCCCTACTGAGGTCAGCTTTTAAAACGCAAAATTTTTCAACTTTTTAACAAGTTTTAAAAATTGTTTTCAAAGTATTTTGTAGCATTTTTACTCTAGTTTTTATATCCCATAACCAAAAGAAACAATGATTTATTTTAGGCAACAAAGAACGACGTTAACAAAAAAAACCCTCAAAACAGGTGGACAAAAGTCTTTTACCCCTCGAACAAAAAGTGAGAAAAAACCGAGTATTTTTAATATTTGGTAGGGCCTCTTTTGATGAAATTATTGCTTGAATCCTTTTCGGCATCGAGTCGACCAAATCCTGTAAAATTCTTTGTCGGGAGTGGTCAGATAGGCTCCAGGCATCACTAGAATTAAAAAATAATAAAGCATTGTTATGTGAAAAATAACGAAACAACAGCAAGAAAATAAAAAGTTGAAAAGGGGTAAAGACTTTTGTCCACCTGTTTTGAGGGTTTTTTTTTTGTTAACGTCGTTCTTTGTTGCCTAAAATAAATCATTGTTTCTTTTGGTTATGGGATATAAAAACTAGAGTAAAAATGCTACAAAATACTTTGAAAACAATTTTTAAAACTTGTTAAAAAGTTGAAAAATTTTGCGTTTTAAAAGCTGACCTCAGTAGGGGTAAAGACTTTTGTCCATGACTGTAATAAGAATAACGATAATTGGGTGATTAACTTATTAAATAACACTAGAATAACGATAATTGGGTGATTAAGTTATTAAATAACAATAAGAATAACGATAATTATGTAATTAAGTTATTAAATAACAATAAGAATAACGATAATTATGTAATTAAGTTATTAAATAACGATAATTGGGTGATTAATTTATTAAATAACAATAAGAATAACGATATTTATGTGATTAACTTATCAAATAATAATAAGATTAACGATATTTATGTGATTAACTTATTAAATAACGATAAGAATGACGATAATTGGGTGATTAACTTATTAAATAACAATAAGAATAACGATAACGATAATTCGATAATTAACTTATTAAATAAAAATTTTCAGTTTGAAAAGCAATACGAGATTGCTTATGCGTACACAATGTCACTTCTATTACCGATGACGGTGAAGATGTTGGATTTATCAAAAAGTTGTGAAAGTAGGTTTTTGAGATTTGAGATTCTTTTTGCTATTCTTTTTGCGATTCATATTAAACACAACTTTCTAAAATGTGTTATCTTTGAAAAGCTTTGAAAAAAGGCTGTAATTTTGGCTTTATTTTACTAACCATTGTTGTTCTTTTCTATTTCTATTTCAACATAGAATTAGATTAAAAAGTAGATAAATTTGGTAAGAAAAGGCTGATAGTTTTTTTTAAAAGTTGACAGATTTTTAGAAAAAAATAGAAAAGCTAAAAGAAAAGCTAAAAGAAAAGCTAAAATTTCCAGATTTCGAGCTAAACGAATGTCAGACAAACTATAAAGAAAAAGCGGCTTTCATCGCCGAGGAGACGGTTCGATTGCTTGAGAAATGGTTTTAACTTATAGTTTTTTTTTTGTTATTCTTATCTTTATTCTTGTATGTTTCACAATAAATTCTAAAATGACGTGTCTTTTGGATGAATCGACATTCAGTGATAAATCCACGCAGTTTTTTTTTTCTTTCTTTGTTCATTGCTCAATTTGTAATCTTTTTGAATAATATTGAAGCTAGAGAGATATTCAGTTTAATGTCATTTCTCTTTCGGATTACTCTTTCGGATTACTGTTGACTATTATTGAAGCTAAACATTTTTCTTCTCATCTCCTTTCCACAATGATTGAAGGGAAAATAGCGGACACTCCGGTGATTTGTATTTTTGCTCATTGCTCAATTTTGGAATCTTTTTGGATAATATTGAAGCTAGAGAGAGCTAGAGAGAGCTAGAGAGAGCTAGAGAGAGCTAGAGAGAGCTAGAGAGAGCTAGAGAGAGCTAGAGAGAGCTAGAGAGAGCTAGAGAGAGCTAGAGAGAGCCACTTTTCAACCATTTTTTAGAGTTTCCTTTCAAAAAGTTTTCTTTTGTTATTCGATTGGAAGAACGAAAATATTCAGTTTAGCGTCATTTCTCTTTCGGATTACTGTTGGCTATTATTGAAGTTAAGCATTTGCTTCTTCTCATCTCCTTTCCACAATGATTGAAGGGAAAATAGCGGACACTCCGGTGACTTGGGCATTAATTGAAGAAGATTTATGTAAAGCTTTCAACTTCAAAGCTTCTCTCAGCGACAAATCACAAGCGATTGCTTTTGCGAAAGGATGCGTCAGTTTTGAATTTGATAAATTGAGTATTAGTTCACTAGAGAACTTCTAAATATACGGTTGATTTTTGTTTTTTACTTTACTTTTGTGCTCAGCAATATAGAAATTTAGTCTTTCTGGTGCAATTATTTTGCAATTAGTACAATTTGTTGATTTTTTTTTTTTTTAAGCTTAAAGATGAAATTTTCAATTTAAAAACGAAAATTTAAAAGTTTAAAGTCGGGATAAAGCATTTTTAAACCATTTTTAGGGTTTCCTTTCCAAGAGTTTTCTTTTGTTATTCGATTGGAAAAACGAAAATGAAAGAATGCCAAAGAAAGGATTGCTCAAAATTTGTTTTCATCCACCAACTGATTGTGACAATGTGACACCAGATTTGGTTTGTTTATAAAGGGTTTATAGTTTATATGTCGTAGCCGTTTACGAAATTCAGCCGCTAACGAATGATTCGTTAACGGCTAGCCGCTAACGAATGGCTAGTTTATAAAGTTTATACAGTTTAGACAGTTTATGAAATTACCCGAACTGGGGTGACCCATCCTTCCGAATGGTTCTAACGCGATGCACGAATTTTTTTTTTGATAATTTTTATTGTTTTTCTTACCACTTTGCACGTTCGAAACATTTTTTTTTTGTGTTTATTTGTAAAATTTCAGTTATATTCAAGAAAATTAGCTCACCGTGAATCGATCGATTTCCACAAACGTCCTTCATCGTCATCTTCCCTTCACCACCAAAAAAGCTATTTAGTTCCCCATTGAGCTTAGGGTTAGGGAGCCGTCTGTCATGACGTGGGTTAAGTTAAGATATAGCCTAGTATTGTGTGTGTCGTTGTATTGTGATTGATATATTTCGTGTATGCGATAAATTCACCACTGGTAGCCCCAGTCGGTATTTTTTTTTTTTTTTTTTAAAAACGTGGAATGAGGCAGAAAAGCATCGCTAACACGTTTCAAGGTGGCTAAATCGGTTGTTTCGGAGACAATTCAACGCTACAAAGTCTTGGGAACAAATTCCGATCGATCACGACGAAACCTTTCTTCACTGTCATCTTTGTTGTCATTGTCGTAATGACAACAAAGATGACGGTGAAGAAAGTGCGCGAAAATCTACGCTACAATAGAGCTCGTTCTCAACGAAAATTAGCCTCAAAAATGGGTATCTCAAGGATCGAATTGTGAAGGAAAAACTCAAAATGAAGGCTTACAAGTATGTAAAAGGAGAATTTCTCATAGCTGCTGCCATGAAAAAGCGAGAAGATCGACGAAGACATGCTCGAAAGCCCATTCAACGATCGATTGTTTGAAAAAATTCTCTCGAAAAGGCTTGGGACGAGCTTGACGTCGCCTATCTTTCTGCCACCGTTGATGCCTTTCCGCGACGTCTTCAAGCATGGGAGATCTTTTTAAAAAGAAATTAATTTTTTAATTTTATGGATGTTAAAGACTAAATTGTTACTTCAAATTTTTGTTAAAAATTGTTAAAAATGGATGTTGGCTTATAGTAATGTAATTCTATGTAACCAATGTAAAAAAACCAATGTAATTCTGGTTTTATAAGCCAGAATTATATTGGTTTGGGGTAGTTTGGCGTCATTCTGTATAGAAAAAAATGCAACATTCAAAACTTTAGCTAAACGACAATGAGATTTTGTTTTACACTCAAAGCAAGGAAGTTTTGGGAATCCCGGAAACGATTCCTTTAGCGAAATATTTTTGCGGCAGAATGTACAATGAAGAGCTTGGCGCTGGTGAGTCGAAAATTGAATTCACACAAAATTTTGCCGACTTTTCAGGTTATATTCTGTTGGAGTTTATCGAAAAACTCTCTTTGTGTCATGTTTATCACAATCTACAAGAAAAGCCGCTTATCGAAATCATTGGACACTTGGCTGAGATAGCGATTAGAGGTGGTTGAAAAACGATTTCTCAGAGTTAACTAGTCAAAATCCGTCTTGAACTTAGACTCATTTTGTCTGGCTCTTGATCAAAGTCACGGAATACCCAGACCTAGTCTAATTTTACTGCTTTACTGATTTACAAAAAGCCCATCAAAAGTCAGGGTCGATCAACGTTGAAAGTCTCTCATCTCAAATCACACAAAGGCTATGCATTCTTTCCGTGTTGCTCACAGGAAAAGCGGTATCTGGCACACGGCTTTGTAGACCAATTCTGTCTAATCTCTAATACAAATTTGCGATCTATCAACATTTTTTATAAAGGCATTTCAAAAGTTTGAAGACTTGTCTGAGATGAGAAATTGTTAGTGAGCTTGAGTCTCATCTCAAAGCTTGAGATGAGATAAGATAGATTCGTCAGAGATCTGAGATGAGAGCTCTGAGATGAGAGCTCTGAGATGAGAGCTCTGAGGTGAGAGCTCTGAGATGAGAGATCTCTCTCATCTTAAAGCTTGAGATGAGAGAGAGATTCGTCATTTTCTTCTTATCTCAACTTTTGAATTCTCTCTTAACAAAAATTCGAACAATTTCTGTTTGAATTCTTGTCAAATTCTTGTCAAAAACTCTTTTTTAGGACTTAAACTTGAAAAGAAAATCGAGAAAATCGAACAGAAAAACGCTTGGGATGTTATATTGAAAGATATCGCCGAGTTGACGGTGAGATTTCTCGTTATCTATATAGTTTTTTTTTTCTGAAATTCAAAGCCTAAACACATCCTTTCACAATTTAAAATCGAGATTTCAAGGTGACCGAGAAGCGCTTTATCGACATGAAAGTCGTTTTCCCCGATCAATCGACTCAAATCGATTATATCCTCCAAAAATTCCCCTCAATTTTCGCTGATTTCCAAAAATTTCAAGATTTACGAATGACAAATTGTAAGTTTTAAAATGAAAAAAAGTTAGATTTACTCCTATTTCAGAAAAAAAAAGAAAAAAGTTAGATTTACTCCTATTCAATTGTTTTCAATTGTTTTCAGTTGTTCAATTATTTTTCAATTCAACTGTTTCAGCTCCTATTCAATTGCTATGTCACGGGGATTTATGGACGACGAATATTTTGTTTACAAAGGATGAAAAAGGAGAATTTCAAGTGAAAGCCTTGATTGATTGGCAGGTTTGTGAAAAAGATCACCGATTTTCCAACATTTTCTGCAACATTTGACAGCTTTTCCATATTGGATCCCCGGTGGAAGATCTCGTCTTTTTGCTGTATTCAGCTTTGGGACCAAATGAGATAAAAAGGTAAAGTATGAAAGTTTCAAACGTTAATTTCAAAAACAGAACCAATTTCTACTTACAAGTTTACTACGATTTGATAAAAAACGCCGTTGGGGAGGAGAAATGTCCGTGGGGAGAGATCAATGAGGTGTGGATTCCAAAGCATTTTATGCCAGAAGGGTTTCCCAGATGACCAGCGGGTCCTTTCGTTTAGCTGTTCTAAAAAGGGAAAGGCCTTATGCCAGAGCCCTATGTCAGGTGGAGAGCGATTACGCGGCCGCACAAAGAACACCCCGTTCTTCAGTCTTCTTTGTAGATGGCACAAAAAGAAGATATTCAGCTGTAAATTTGTATAATATATAAGATATTTGTACCCAGAGCTTTTCGGGGTCAAAGGATCGATTGAAGCTATTCATTTTAATGAGTAATAGCTAATCTATAGTAGTAATTATGGGAATTGAGGGCTCGGGATTCTTTTAGACTTTAGAACGAGTTGAGTGCTAACGTCGAGACTAAAATAGACTTATTAATAGACGAAAATGAATATGTTCAATCGATTCGGCGACCCCGAAAACCCTCGGGTACAAGTTTACAGCTGAATAGCTTCTTTTGGAGCCATCGACAAAGCGAAAGAAGAATCTCAATGTAAAAGTGACTGGTGTTCTCTATGCGGTTGCGTAATCGCTTTCCATCTGGCATAGAGCTTTTGCATAAGGCTTCTCTAAACGCTTATCAAAGAGTTCATCAAATCATACAATGCTTCAGCTTATCAAACAATACGAGATCTCATATATTCACATGATTTCCATCATTCATCCAATGAATGTTAATGGATTTGAAGATCAAATAATCGCTTGTGATGGTTTGAAACATCTTTTAATTCTTGATATTTAGTTAAAAAACTAAAAGAATACAATTATAGACATGACTTTTCAGAAAACGAGATCGATTGGTGTCGTGAGAACTTCGGACTCAAAAGTGCCGCCATCACCGCCGAGTTGTGTCGATGCTTCGAGAAATGGATTCAATAAAATAATCAATGATTTATTAACATTATTTGCTTTAGTCTTTAGCTTTAGCAGTTATAAATTCAATTCAAAACCACTTCTTCAAACATCTTTCCACTTCTTTTGCCATAGAAAGAATTTGAGCGTCGAATTTTGCCTCATCTTTTTCGCGTCCTAAAAAAGAGATGAAAATGCTGTAGGAAAAATGGTAGAAAATGGTAGAAAATGGTAGAAAATGGTAGAAAATGGTAGAAAATGCTAGAAAATGCTAGAAAATGCTAGAAAATGCTAGAAAATGCTAGAAAATGCTAGAAAATGCTAGAAAATGCTAGAAAATGCTAGAAAATGCTAGAAAATGCTAGAAAATGCTAGAAAATGCTAGAAAATGCTAGAAAATGCTAGAAAATGCTAGAAAATGCTAGAAAATGCTAGAAAATGCTAGAAAATGCTAGAAAATGCTAGAAAATGCTAGAAAATGCTAGAAAATGCTAGAAAATGCTAGAAAATGCTAGAAAATGCTAGAAAATGCTAGAAAATGCTAGAAAATGCTAGAAAATGCTAGAAAATGCTAGAAAATGCTAGAAAATGCTAGAAAATGCTAGAAAATGCTAGAAAATGCTAGAAAATGCTAGAAAATGCTAGAAAATGCTAGAAAATGCTAGAAAATGCTAGAAAATGCTAGAAAATGCTAGAAAATGCTAGAAAATGCTAGAAAATGCTAGAAAATGCTAGAAAATGCTAGAAAATGCTAGAAAATGCTAGAAAATGCTAGAAAATGCTAGAAAATGCTAGAAAATGCTAGAAAAAACTTCAACATAACCTGCTCAAAGCTTTTCCATGGTAAAATATTCAGATCAAACATTTCGATTACCCTTTAAAAGAGCTGATTTAGCTTCGGTAAACCATGTGAACATCATAAAAGAGATGTGTGCATACATTCGTTCATATTCTTCAAGAAGCTAAAGGGATTTTCGTTTTTCTAAGGCTTTAATCAATGAAATTTAAAGCATTAAATCGAGATTTTTCATCCCGACAGAGCGTATTTGCATTTGCATATTTGCCCGTATTTGCAACTAAAGCCTTTTTAGTGCAGACGAATATTTCGTTTTCAAATTTTGGTTTTCAATTTGGGAAAATTTAAAATGAATCAAATAAAAGTTCGATCAAACCTGCTGAAAGCTTTTCCATGGTAAAATATTCAAATCAAATTCGTCAACAAGTTTCTCATAAAAGTAGTGAAGGAAAATGTGAAATCTGAAAGTAATTATTGAAATTTTAAAACTTATAGAAATATTTAAATTTTTGAAATTTTGAATTTACCTATTAGCATATTCTTCAGCTGGTAAAGCGCTAAAGAAAAGAAAAACGAGATCTTTTGTTGGGGTGCCGATATGGACAAGCTGAAATGATTGTGAGAGTACAGTCTTCTTGATACAATCATTTTGAAATTCTTTTGGTTTCTGCGTAGCTGCCCAGCCAAACGCAACCGAATCGATTGAAGATTCAGGGCAGTTACGCAAGAAATTTAAAGCATTAAATCGAAATTTTTCATCCCGAGAGAGCGTATTTGCAACTAGAGCCTTTTTCTAAAACGTGTCAACTTAAGAAAACTACCGTAACCTTAATCAATCTACTTTTTGATCTATTGAAGGAAGTGGCTACTTTGCGCCAAATTTTTTTTTTGCGCAACTGGGTCGTTTACACAACTCGCCATAACTTTCTTCTAAATCGGTCAATATTTATGATTTTGGTGTCATTTTGTTACACTTGTTGAGATCTACAAAATGACATCAAAATCATAAAGATTGTTTTGTTTTGTTTATCATAAAGATAAAGAAAATTATTGCAAAAAAATGGCGCAAAAATGACGAGCCCCGCATTATATACGACACTTTTTAAAGATACTCAGCCGTTTAACTGATTTGGTGGGGAATTCCCTTCCAATATAAAAAATGATTTTTTTTGAAAAAACCTGGGGGTAGGCTAATTTCCGCCATTCTATTTGCGCAACTGAGTCATTTGCGCAACTCGCCATAACTTTCTTCTAAGTGAAATAATCTTTATGATTTTGGTTTCATTTTGTAGATCTCAATAAGTGCAACAAAATGAAACCAAAATCATAAAGATCGACCGACTTAGAAAAAAGTGATGGCGAGTTGAGCAAAAAAATTTGGCGCAAAGTAGATCCACCGTCATATGGAGCTTTGGATGAACAATTTGCGCAAAAGCCCTAGTTGCGCAGTTCCGTTTACCCAGTTCCGAAAAAAAAATTTGGCGCAAAGTAGCCACCCAACTATTGAATCGATTTATCGAATCAATCAATTTCTGTATCTTTTTGATCTTTGCATCATTCTGCGTAAACCCTACATTTTAAAGAAACTAGATTGGATAAAAGTCGAAATTTTTGAGGGTTTTCAAAAAAGTTGAAAAGTTAGAAAACGAATTTCCTGCCTCACACCTGCCAATCGAGAATTGCTTCGATTCGCGGTTTCTCGCCGTTTGAACATACAATATTTGGTGTCCACATATCACCATGACAAAGAATCGGTTGATCACCTGAAAGACAGAGCTCAGTGAAAGTTCTTTTCTTTTCGAAATTCTCTCTAAAAGCTTTCTATTGGGTTGGTGGAAAAGTCCTTTCCGATTCCGAACCAGCGACCCTCAGATCAATAGCCTTTCCGCCGCTTTTCGCGATTTTCCTTCGTTTTTCTCGTTCTAAAAAAGCCCTGAAAAAAAGCCTTCTAACAACATCAAAAAAATGATAAAACAAAAAAAAAGGGGAAAAACGAAGGAAAATCGCGAAAAGCGGCGGAAAGGCTATTGATCTGAGGGTCGCTGGTTCGACTTCCATCGGTGACAATATTTGTCAAAAATTTTTTGCTAAGATTCTGAAAATTTGTGTCTAGGGGTTATTTTGACGCTGATCACGAAACACATGTTTTTAGCCTAGGTTTCTGCACGGAAAACTAACGAAACGTGAAAACTGCCATTTTTGGGCTCTGCTGCCCTTTACTAAAATAGCTGTAAAAACTTTTAGAAAAGAGATATCTCAAAACGGTTTTTACCGGTCGATCCGTCTTGAATTCAGCTTTAGGATGAGCTATAAAACGTCAAAATTGGACAAATTTAAGGTACTCTCCCAAAAAATCGGAAAGGACTTTTCCACCAACCCAATAGTTTGATTTGAGTTTGATCATAAGTTTTTATAGTTAAAAAATCGCCAATCTTTTACAGAATTTAAATCTTATTACAGTTTTGAAATTACTTTTTTAGATTTTGAGTTATTACTCTTCGAAAAAAAATTGATTGCACTTTTTTTGGCGCTTTTTTTGGCGCTTTTTTTGCACTTTCTTTATTGCAAAATTTCTAAAAATGACAAACTTATTGAAAACTTTTTCGATTTCTAGAGTTGATAAACAATTTCTTTTCTTTGAATACTCCTAATCGTTTAGGTTCTAATTTTGAGAGATTTTGAGAGATTTTGACAGATTTTAACAGATTCTTTTAATACCATAGAGCTCACACAAATTGTGATAAGACAAAATCAAAAGAAGTGATTTCAAAACTGTAATAACATTTCAATTCTTTGTAAAATTGGGTATCTTTTGGCTAAGAAGAAGAAGAAGAAAAAGAAAAGAAAAAGAAAAGAAAAAAGTTTTTCATCGCATTGAATTCCCCCAAAAACTTACACCAAATCTCAGGATTCCTCATCGTTTTCTCGAAATCTTTTAACTCATCCGTTTTTTTCCACAAATATTCGATTGTTTCCAAACATTTTGGATACATTTCCCTCATTTTCAATAAACGTTTTTTAATTCGCTGCAATTTTAGATAGTTCTCAAAAAAAAACAAATCAACCTGTAACTGGCAATGATCCTCGAGAACGGTCTTGTAGCTGGTATTACACCATTTCTTGACAAGTGATGGATTTTTCAATGCTACAATTTCTTTATAAATCTTATATAAATTGTAGAAAGTCTAGAAAAAAGCACATTTAATCGTCAACTCAGCGATGAGATCAACTCCTTGATAGATGATCTCATCGGGCGTTGAATCAAAGAGACGTCTCGTTGTGCCACGATTCTCTTCAAAGTACTCAATCGCAATGTAACCTGTGTTTATGTTTTGTGAAATGAAATAAGAAATAAATGAAAGAATGTAAAAGAACCGTAATTCGTATATCGCCGACCAGCGTAAAATTTCGCTTTCGGGAAACTCGAGAAAAGAATCGAGGCTGGGTTTTCACCAAAATACGCGTCAAACTCATTGTCACCTAGCTAAATAGATAAATTAATTGAAATCTATAAAATATCTATAAAATCGATTACCCAAAACTTCGTAATCTTAACAACCTCTTGTTCCAGTTTACTCGAGACTCCGGTGAACTCGCCACACGAGCTCATCTTCACCACAGCTTTCTCAGGCAATCCATTCATATTGTCAATCCAATCAAAAGTGATCAAAGCTATTTCCGACAGAAAACCCTGAAGATTCTTTGAAAGCTGAATAGTTAAATATCTTTAAATCTAAAGAGCTTTAAAGCTAAAGAGCTAAAGAGCTATAGATCATTAAAGCTAAAGAGCTAAAGATCTTTAAAGCTAAAGATCTTTAAAGCTAAAGATCATTAAATCTAAAGATGTTTAAAGCTATAGATCGTTAAAGCTAAAAATCGTTAAAGCTAAAAATCGTTAAAGCTATAGATCGTTAAAGCTAAAAATCGTTAAAGCTATAGATCGTTAAAGCTAAAAATCGTTAAAGCTAAAAATCGTTAAAGCTAAAAATCGTTAAAGCTATAGATCGTTAAAGCTAAAAATCGTTAAAGCTAAAGATCTTTAAAGCTAAAGATCATTAAATCTAAAGATCTTTAAATCTAAAGATCTTTAAAGCCAAAGATCTGTAAATCTAAATATCTTTAAAGCTAAATATCTTTGTCTAAAGATCTTTAAACCTAAAGACCGCTAAGTCTAAATATCTTTAAATCTAAAGAGCTTTAAAGCCAAATATCTTTAAATCTAAAGATC